AGTTGAAGAAGTTGACCACCCAATTGTTGATCTCATCGATGTCTTTGAGCTGTTCTTCTCGTAGGGAATCTTTTTCCTGAGCCTTCCTTGCCACATAGCCTGCCTTCCTTCACAAAGCAAGTGGATAGTCGAAGATCGAAGATCGAAGCCTTTTTGGCGGAGGACCTGATCGTCTGGCCCAAGTGTACTGTGGAGATCAGCAGTAACCATTTCGCCTTTTTTAGCACTTCAAAATGAAGTAATCCTTGGTTAATCCACCAAACGCAGAGAAGAGCTTTCTTTCCATGTTGTTCTGGTTTCGATGTCGGTTTAGGAATTACTCCTGGACTTAGCCATTGACGTCTTCGAGATAAATTGTCGTATTGTATATTGAAAGAAAAAGAGAATAATCACCGTGGGATGACCATTAGTGAAAGAGATGGATTTATTAAGAGTAATCCCGGTGGGAGCGTTTTCAGGCCTGAAAGGGTTTTCAGCACTGAAAAGCATTGATTACTGTAAGACTTTCAGGTCTGAAAGGCTTTCAGGACTGAAAACGCTTTCAGGCCTGAAAATGCTTTCAGTACTGAAAATGCTTTCAGTACTGAAACCATTTAGGCTGTTGCCGAAGCTTACATGAATGTACTAAATTTTACAGAAATAATTACAAATAGACTCTCAAATATTCAATTAATATCGATATTCGATAAAACTCCTCACTACTTTGTAATATTTCTTTCTCAAAGAAATATGAATTTGACTACAAAAATTTGCGCCGCACAGGTGACCTTGTTCATTTTCTTCTTCTTTTTATATTCAAGTTCAAAGACTCAACGAAAACATGTCGCTATGATTTTTTGATAAATTTTTAGTTTTGATTTAGTTGACTAAGCATCTTCATTGCCGAAATTACTGTATTAGTTATGCTTTTATTTACTAGAAAACATTGCGCTTTGTTCATTTTATTCAAGTTTTATGATGTGGCAAATAAACAAAATATTGTAACTATTTGTAAATCTCATTGTTAAAAATAAACATTTCGCGATTGAAGATTCGAACCCACCCAAAAGAGAACTCGATTACTTCCGTTCAACGGTTCAAGGCTGATCTCAGACGGTTCAAGGCTGAGCTCAGACGGTTCAAGGCTGATCACTCTAATCTCCATTGCCTTTGCCTTTACTTTTTTTGAATTGTTGGACAAAGAAATCCGTGCAAATCTGTGCAAATCATTACCATCATTACAATCATTACAATCATTATAATCATTATAATCATTACAATCATTCAAATTCATACAACCATTTTCCCCCTCATACGCGGATCTCATGATCACGAATGTCAACACTCACCAACCAAACCTTCCTTGCCGCTAAATCTCGATGAATGAAACAATGAGAGATCAGGTATTCAATTCTGTAAAAGATTGGCTATCGTTTGGCTATAAAAAAGAACAGATGTTTTTGAAGTGGAGTGTCCTAGTGACGACTTTTGAACCAGCTGCACAACGTTATGCTATTGCAAAATCGCTTGCTGTTTTTGTGGATTTGTATTCAAAACTGAAGATTAAAACATCTTTTTTGTTTACAAAAGGGATGTTTTTATACAACCCAGCACAGAAGCATAAAGCATAACTCAGCTCCCATCAAAGCTCCAAAGTGTAACGAAAACCAGGACGAAGAACTATAGCTGGACACCAAAAATTTTATTTGAAAAATTTCTCGTTTTCGTGCAAAAACCATTCGATTCAGTTTATATAAGAAAACAAAATGATTGCACACAACATTGAAAGATATTCTGGTTTTTAGTTGCAGAAGGTTTTTAGTTGCAGAACATTCAGAATATTTTTTGATTCAGAATTTAACTCACCGGGCAAGAGGAGTCGCATGCCGGGACGGCAACAGCGTTGACCATGGCAGAAGAAGCTAAAATCTTTGATTTCTTTTGAGCTTCGAAGCCATTTGGGCCATCTTTCCAATAAGCCAAAAACTTGAAGCAATTTATAGGCTGAGAAATGCGCTAATTAAATAAAACTTTGAGAAGATTAATTTACTTAAACTTGGACCCACTGAAGACGAGAAGAACGGCGAAGAGAAGAGCGAGACAAGAGGAGAGCAGACGCATTGCTTGTGTTAGAGCTAGTTAGAGCTAGGAACTAAATAAGGACGATAAAGAAGGAGCTTTAAAGGAGCTTTAAGAGAAAGAACGGCGAAGAGAAGAGCAAGACAAGAGGAGAGAAGACGTATGTGTTAGAAGCTGTGAACTGATGGCAGATCGAAGCTTATAAACTCAAGGGATATTTTTAAAACCCGATACAAAACTTTGGATACTCATAACTTTTGACAGAGTGCTATTTAGCAGATCCGGATTCAGCGTAAAATTCTGCGTTGATAGGTCTATGGCTCAAGTCATTTGACCAGCCTATCTAGTTCACCTTTTCGTATTACTATCAAAAACTACCTCTGGTAGTTAAAAAAGCAAAGCGATTGGCGGACAAATTTGAAAAATTAAAATGATCTCGGGCGGGGTCGAACCGCCGACCTTGTGTATGTTAGACAGATGTGATAACCACTACACCACGAGACCTCTGGTCTGGAGCTAAAAATAGGAACTATTCAACTCATTCTGCCATTTTTCCACAAAACTACCTTTTTTAAGATCAGTTTTTGACAGATGTGGCCCCTTTTAGCCCTGTCAATTTCCGAGCGGCTACTGCGGTCTCGTGGTGTAGTGGTTATCTCATTAAGCGGGCTTTGAGCTGAAGAAGTTGACCACCCAATTGTTGATCTCATCGATGTCTTTGAGCTGTTCTTCTCGCAGGGAATGTTCCATAGTCCGAAATAAGTGATAATCTGGGGGAGCCATATCGGGACTATACGGGGCATCAGGAAGCACTTGCCACTCTAACTCTTCGAGTTTTTCCTGAGCCTTCCTTACCACATGCGGTCTTGCACATGCACATGCGGTTATCATGAATCAAGTGGATAGTCCTCGAATTACACATCATTAGTTTTATTCGCAGTTTGCAAAGATTTTTTTTGATATAAAACTTGAAACAAATCGGTTTTTTGGATTGTGAGAATTTTTGTTTTGAACGTTTTATTTTTGTTTTGTTTTGTTTTGCTTTGTTTCTCTATTCAACGCTTTCAAAAAAAAAACCATTCGCAGTCCTCGGATCGAAGCTTTTTTGGCGCGGGTTAAAAAACATCCCTTTAGTTTATAAGCAGATTTTTGAAATAAGGCTGCTATTAATGTGCTCAAACGTTCTTATTTCAGGAGTGAGACGTCGATCGGTTGGTTCGTTTCTTGTGTGATGAGGCGCGCAAGTTGAAACCGGATTTTGTTAACTTTTTAAAAGACTGTTTCGCCATCATGTACAGAGTGCGGCATAGGTAGCCAATCTTTAGGTATCCAATCTTTTACAGAATTGAATACCTGATCTCTCATTGTTTCATTTATCGAGATTTAGCGGCAAGGAATTGTTTAGTTGGTGAGAATCGACTGATCAAAGTGTTGACATTCGGGATCATGAGGGGGGTTATTATCCGGTGAGTAGGAAAATGGTTGTACTAGATTGTATGAATTTGAATGATTGTAATGATTGTAATGATTATAATGATTGTAATGATTGTAATGATTGTAATGATGGTAATGATTGAAATTATGGTAATGATTTGCACAGATTTGCACGGATTTCTTTGTCCAACAATTAAAAAAAAGTAAAGGCAAAGGCAATGGAGATTAGAGTGATCAGCCTTGAGCCGTCTGAGATCAGCCTTGAACCGTCTGAGATCAGCCTTGAGCCGTCTGAGATCAGCCTTGAACCGTCTGAGATCAGCCTTGAACCGTTGAACGGAAGTAATCGGGTTCTTTTTTGGGTGGGTTCGAATCTTCAATTGCGAAATGTTTATTTTTAACAATGAGATTTACAAATAGTTACAATGTTTTGTTTATTTGCCACATCATAAAACTTGAATAAAATGAACAAAGCGCAATGTTTTCTAGTAAATAAAAGCATAACTAATAGCATAACTAAAGTAATTTCGGCAATGAAGTTGCCTAGTCAACTAAATCAAAACTAAAAATTATCAAAAAATCATAGCGACATGTTTTCGTTGAGTCTTTGAACTTGAATATAAAAAGAAGAAGAAAATGAACAAGGTCACCCGTGCGGCGCAAATTTCTGTAGTCAAATTCATCTTTCTCTGAGAAAGAAATATTTGCCTTTTCGATTACGATTACGTTTTAATTTTATGGCAGAGTTTAATGGTGGTGGCCCATTAAAAATCTTGGGGTAGGCCTTGCGCAACTGGGTCATTTGTATAACTGGGTGATTTGTGTAACTGGGCCATCTGCGTAACTGGGTCGCTTGCGCAAGCTCAACACTCAAATCCTCCATTAGATCTCACCGTCAGCTACATTTTCAGACCTCACATCGATAGGTTCTGATAAGCGAGATTCGTTTCTTGAATCTTCAAAGAATCTTCAAATCAATCTCATTTCTTGAAAAGCTAACCTATGGCTTAAACATATCTCACCAAATTCCGTCCAACAATCTTACTCAAAACATGGTTTCCAAGCCTTAAACCTTCAGGATTTCTGACTAACTTCTGCAATAGTTCAATTCCATGATTATTTCGTTTAATCCATGACTTATTCCGATATCCAATAAACTAAAGAAAAGAAAAACTCAGTACTTCTCTGAAGTGAGTCCCTTTCCCTATTGCCCTCACTCCTCAGGGTCTGGCTCTAGCTTTGTCTGGCTTACAGAGAAAGTCGAGTTAAAAGCCTTTCCTGGTGTTAGAATCCAGTTAAAACATTCACTCTAGATACACTCCAGTTAGACTATGTACCGGTGAATTGTCGATTTGTTTCTTTTTATTGATTCATTACTTTCTCGCTGAACACATGCAAACGTTAATCATTCATTGTCCGAATCCGAAACATAAAACTCTCAAAAAAATGTTTTGTCTCTTAAATGGGATTATCAATTTAATCGATGAGCTCATCAGTGAAACCGATCAAACCTAAAAAGTTTGATAAACTTATACAGTACTGGACAATGAAATATGATATTTGAAAAACGAAATACACGCGAAAGTGACGATCGTCTTTCATTGTCCCGTAGTGTACATCAATGCTATTCGTCAATGCTGCTTTTTCCTTAAGGTGAACTTTGTGCATAAATGTGAAAACACATCCTTTCTAGTATACTCAAATTCTATTTACCAAAAGATTGCTATAAAAAACTTCAGAAATGGACTAGAAAGAGCGTGTTTCGAGCACAAAACATACTTGAAGAACAATCTTGGAAACAACGTTGACTTTGAAACAAGAATTCAGTCTATTTTGACTATTTCGTCATTATATTGCTAGCTTATGTAAGCTAGAAAATATTTTTTCTATTTTCGAAATCTTGAAAGACGAAATTGATGTTGAAATAAGCATTGAAACACTGAAAAATGACTTAAAAAGACCTTAACACCTGGGGGAGATTGTTTATCTCTAATCAAAACTGATCAGCTGAACAAATTGATCATTAAAAATTGGATCCAACCGACTTTTTACCTTGTGATAGTAGTTTACTACTTGATAGTAATTTAAATCAACAAAATGCCTCAAGGTAATAAAGTCAGAGAACGATGGAATCAAAATAATAATTTTCAAATTTCTTTTCTAAACAAAAATTTCAATAACAAGCAAGCAACAAAAGATTGAATAGGATAGGGAGCCAAGCCAAGTCATTTTCCTCACTCACCCTGACTCGATCGGCGTACTGTTTCGCAGCGCTTTCCAATTTGTTCTGTTGTTGCTGAAACCTCTTCTTTGCATAGAAGCTTTTTTTCACTTACATATTGACCCTTTTCCAATTGTCGAATGTAGTCACAAGATGCTTTGAGAATCGTCCCTTTGTTCAGCTTCATCTCTCTAAATTCGGCTGTGATAACGCGAAGTAAATATTTAGCGTTTTTCTTGAAAATTTGATTCTAACTCACTTGGAGGCTTCTTTAGGCAGCAAAAGCCCTAATTCGTTGATGCGGTCTTTGATATTATTGCGACGAAGGCGTTCAACTGAAAAACTCGTATAATAGGTTTTAGCAAAACCTCTGAAAAACTTCTGATTTGATTCATAACTATGAATGAAATGGGAAATGAACTCACTCCCATTGTGAATGTCCTTCTTTTTGCGATCATGGTCAAAATCTGGATTATCGGCACTGGGAATGGATCCTTTCGACGAGCCACGTACCTGCAAACAATGCTTCCTCATCAATTTGTTTGACGAAACGAATGAAATGAAGGATTTAATCCAAGGGAGATTCCAATAAATGTCTTTCAAGAGCTCGCTTGATTAGGAAAAGTTCAACTTTTATCTCAAAAGGTCGAAAGATGCCCGGAAAGGTCGATTCAAGGTAAGTTCATAAATAATTGCAAATAGGGTGGGGAAAATCGAGAATCGTTCCGTGGATTGGGTGATGGATGAGGCTGGATGAAAGCTAACAGGAAAAGAAAAAAGGCAATAAAGGCAAAAAGGCAAGAAAAGAAAAAAGGCACTAAGCCATGAAAATAAATTTTTTAAAAATACTTTTTTATCTAATCTGATATTTTTATATGGAAGCTTACAACTGAGGGTTCAGAAAAACCCCTTTACTTAAAAAGTTGTTTTCGAAAAATTTTAGAGTTTTTACAAAAATTTAGGTTATTATCTTCTTAATTTGTTGTGGGGTAATGGTTGAGTACCACCGAGGAAACCCACTGGATTCGGATGTTGGTGGAACAAATGTTGGCCGTTGGGCCCTGCCGGGCATTTTTTGAAGGTAGCCAACCAATCGATGAATTGATCAAAAGATCGGGAAAGGGGTGAAGCCTTGAGATAAAGTGATTCAAGAAGACGTGGGGAATGTGAGGAAATGAGACGACCAAAGGGGGGTGAAGGGGAGCCCCTTCCGCCGTATGCCTCCTCTCATCAGCCGCCAATTACGAACTCTTTGTCGCGATGAAGCTATTGGTTTTCTTTGGGTTTTTGACCAAAATTTGGGGATGAAAACAATAAGTGATGTCATGTCTGACAAGGGAATATTTCAAACTAGGAAAAAGTTCTTTGAAAAGATTTCTTTGGTATAAGCGGTATGATATTTTGAAAATCCTATCCTGACGTCACCCTCAACACTTGAATGGTTTTTAAAGTTTTTGAAGAAAAGAACCGGCTCAAAGAAGACCATTAGAAGCTCAAGGCTGGGCTGGTTCCAACTGGAGCGAGCATTCCTCTAGCTGATAATTTCTTTAGCAAATATATTTAAGAAAAATATCATAATCAATCAAATTTGAGCTCATTCATTGAGACTTAAATGATTGCTCATCAAATCTGACCAGAATTGAGCTTATTGGGATTTACTTTGTAAAAAGATAAAAGCCAGAATCTACTTTCCCCTCATCTTCCCTCTCCTCCCTCTCCACCCTCTCTTTCCTTCCCTCCTCTTCCCTTCCCTCCTTCCCGAAAGCCAGAATCTGCATCGTTCGGGTGTTAACGGTCCTCCTTCGTCCTCTTCTGAACATGTCCTTCATCTTTCCATTGCCTTACAATCTTCTGGATGGTCCTCAGAGCTATCCAAGCCAATTCTGATGAATTCAATTTCATTCATTTCCCGGCACCCTGACAATCAGGCTCGCTTTGGCTCGCTTGCCAATGTCCAAAACCCCCTAAATGCAAAAAAAGGCCTTCCAAAGTGTTTAACCATTTTGAATGGTTTCAAAGCTCTTTAGTCGCAAAGCTCAAGCATTTCGGTCAAGCAGCAGAAAGACATCTGACATCTCATCAGAAATCGAATTTCCGAACTTTTCTTCTTTTTGGTGTAGGAGAGATCTTTTCCGAGGTTTCTTTAATTTTTTCACCAAAAAGAAGAAAACGTTTTCAGGCCTGAAAGGGTTTTCAGCACTAAAAGCATTGATTACTGTAAGACTTTCAGGTCTGAAAGGCTTTCAGGACTGAAAACGCTTTCAGTCCAGAAAACGCTTTCAGGCCTGAAAATGCTTTCAGTACTGAAAATGCTTTCAGTACTAAAAAGGCTTTCAGTACTGAAAAGCGCCGCACCCCGCGCCGCCGCCGCATGACGGTGCAATTTTGGTTTTGGTTTGATAAAATCGGTTTTGATACAAGAGCATTAGAGACGGGCAGCTTAGAAAATGACTTTATTAAAACTGCGATTAAAACTAATGATGTGTAATTGTTCTAACCACGATCCTCCTCTTGATGATCCCACGCATCGTTCGGGTGTTAACGGTCTCCTTCGTCCTCTTCTGAACATGTCCTTCATCTTTCCATTGCCTTACAATCTTCTGGATGGTCCTCAGAGCTATCCCAAGCCAATTCTGATTTCTATGTAGGCAATCGCTTGTCTTATCCCTTCCCCTTTCCCCTCATCTTCCCTCTCCTCCCTCTCCACCCTCTCTTTCCTTCCCTCCTCTTCCCTTCCCTCCTTCCCCAAGAAGGAGCTTTATAGGAACTAAAGAAAACGGAGCTTAAATAAGGAAAAAAATGGAATGGATATATCTATAAAGTGTGTTCCTCTTGTTTAATGCGTTTTCTAAGAAGCTCTTCTCAGAGAACGTTACTCAAAACGCTAGTTTACATCGAGAGGGAGGAGAGGGAAGATGTGAGAAAAGGGGATAAGGCAAGCGCGTGATAGAAATCAGAATTGGTAACGAAATTGATTATCAAATCTTTGAATGAAACTGGACACACGTTATGTAGAAGTTGTTGGTTGTTTAAATGGTAAGCAAAGTTCCTTCTGAATAGCCCATATTGTGGTTGCCGTGCATCGGCGCGATGTTCGGGTCGGAGCTGAAAATTGAGAAATACAGATTTTTAGGGTAGAATTTAAATATCAAAATCTTCTAAGTAGTTTGACTCAAAATATGCTTCCCAAGTGCCCTGGAAACAACTTCTACACATACTGTATAAACATATCGAAATACACGCCCAATCGGCTCCCGATTGGGCGAAAATCAGCAACTAGTGCTAGGTCACCTTCGGTTTGACCTTCGGTTGATCCGGTCCACACGCACATTTCCCCTCACAGCCTCGACCGGGAATGCACCCTACAAGTGAAAAGTGAGAACTTAAAAGAGTCAATCTACGTCCAAAACTAGTGCTCTACTCCGCTTGCGATTTAATCATCAAACAAACGCTTGTACATAATTGTTTCCAGTTTCTCTAAAAAGATTTGATAACTATTTTCCTTCCCAAATGGCGCGTAGTTGTCATCTGTGAACCGGGATCGCTGCTAAATGCCAACTCTGAATAACAAAAAGGTAGAATTTTTAATTTTTCAAGTCAAGTTTCCGCTTTTTAGGCCTTCAACTTTCGATTAGCAAGCGTCAATATTCAGGTATGTGATAAAAATAAAAACCTAATGGAAATTGATGTGCTCGTTAGATTGGGGTTGTGTATGCAGTTGTCTTTGAGTTTTATTTCACAAAAATTGGGATTGGGGAAGGAGGAAGGGAAGATGAGAGAAAAGGGAAGGAGAGCAGACAAGCTAGTGCCTATATATAGAAATCAGAATTGGAACTGAAGATGGTTATGGAATCTTTGAATTAAACTGGACACACTTATGCACAAGTCGTTTGTGGGAAATAAAGAAAATAATCCAATGCATTAATTGGAATTAGGGAAGTAGGAAAGAGAAGAGAGGGTAGAGAGGGGGGTTTAAGGTCCCTGGCTGGCTTAAGGTCCCTGGCCTTAACCAAGGATCATCAAGAGGAGGGTCGTGGTTAGTACAATTACACATCATTAGTTTTCGCAGTTTTAATAAAGCCATTTCCTAAAGCTGCCCGTCTCTAATGCTCTTGTATCATAACCGATTTTATCAAACCAAAACGAAAACCGCCCCGTCATTATGGGGTACTACAGTGCGCTTCAAATTCTTAAAGGCACCCTCTAAAACAGCGAATTTTGCGTTTTGACCACCGCTACAACTATTAATCTTTTTCTATCAGAAAGAGCATGTCTCAAAACCTAAAAAGCATTAAAAAGAAGCATACTGTAAAAAGTAAAAATTAATTTTCACAATGGAAACTTTTTGCTAAATCAACCGTTTCAAATTCTTAGACGCACCCGCCTTTGTTGTTGTTACTTGAAATTTTTCGTTTTGTTGTGCATATTTTTTTATTAAAAAATTATAGAAATTCCGAGTTCGTTTATGCACCCAAGAAAAAGCCAGAATATTGTAAACAATCAATAGAATATAATTAGACGAAGTTTTGTTTGATATTTCTATAACTTCTCCACCTCCATTGGCTGATAACCTTATGGACTTGAGTCAAAGAATTGATCGAACCCATGGTGAATCCATCCTAGCGGGGAGGCGATCGCCATCGCAGACGTCGTCTCAGAGAGTTGTGACATAAAACCCGATGAGGACTAAAAATAAAGAAAAAGAGCAAAATATAAAACATAAATTTAGGGGACCTAGCACTAGTTGCTGATTTTTTAGTGCCCAATCGGGAGCCGATTCATTGTGTGTCTTCGGGAGGGGAGTCAAGAGAAAAGTTGAGCGATCGCTTACAAGTGATCCGCATGGGGTTTGATTTGGGCTTCGAGGGGCGGAGGGGATGGCCGGGAGTGGGGGAAGAACTTTCGGTGGGCGCCTTGAGGCCATTCTTCGCCAAGATCTCCTCGAGTTCCTAGGTTTGCGTTAAAAAAATGCGTATCCTTAGTCTTTATCTACTCGTTTAACAGGTATCTACACTAATGAAATATAATATTTGAAAAAGATCGTCACTTTCCCGATGGGGTTTGATTTGGGCTCCCTTGGATCTCTTTGATTGATCGAGGGGCGGAGGGGATGGCCGGGAGTGGGGGAAGAACTTTCGGTGGGCCCCTTTAGGCCATTCTTCGCCAAGATCTCCTCGAGTTCCTAGGTTTGCGTTAAAAAATTGCGTATCCTTAGTCTTTATCTAATCTAAAAATTTTTGCGAATTTTGCGACTACGCGGCTACGAATGTGCTACCACAGTATTAGGGTAGATTTAGTCATTTTCTAAAGCTGCCCATCTCTAATGCTCTTGTATCAAAACCGATTTTTTCCTTAACAATAGCTGATCCAGCTGAGCATTACACCTAAAACACAATAGTTGGTAATTTTCTGCTCATTTCAAACCCACAGAATCAAATTCGCAAATTCAATTTCAACGCAGAGTGAAACTTCGGTACTGTGAAAAGTATTTATTCTAGAACAAAATTATTTGTATTGCTTTCTTTTGTATTGCAGAAGTTCAAGCGCAAAGTCGTTGGCTACTTTGCACGCAACCGAGAGAGAGTCAAAACTTCGGTAATGTGAAAAGTATTTATTCTAGAACAAAATTATTTGTATTGCTTTCTTTTGTATTGCAGAAGTTCAAGCGCAAAGTCGTTGGCTACTTTGCACGCAACCGAGAGAGAGTCAAAACTTCGGTAATGTGAAAAGTATTTATTCAAAAAGCTAATCAAACATTTGGAAACCTCCACAATTTGCACAATCCACAAGGCTGAAAGCAGGTGATTATTCGAATGATTATATTTCAAATCACCGCGTTTTCAGATGCCCATGAGCAAAATTTTTGGGGAAGGAGGGAAGGGAAGAGGAGGCAAGGAAAGAGAGGGTGGAACGGTGTAAAAAAAGAATGAATAGAATAGGGAAGCCAATCTAAGCCAAGCCATTCCCCGACGCGCCCTGACTCGATCGGCGTACTGTTTCGCCGCTTAATATGTCCGATTTGTTCCGTTGTTGCCGTTACTTAATATGCCCTGAAAGCTCTTCCTTGCTTAG